TTAAATTAATAATTAAATAACTAAATTAACAACAAAATTAATGAAAATAACACACAATTTATATTTTAAATAAAATTTTAATAATTTAATTACGAACCCTTTTTTTATTATTTAACAACTTAATTGATTCTTTTAATTAATAATTTAATAATTAATGACAAACTTATTTAACAATTTAAATATTTTAATTATAAATTAATTGACTTAATTAACAACTAAAAAACTAAATTAACAAGTAAATAAATTCAAGTCACATGTAATTATATATTTATACAATATTTAAATAATGTAATTGTAAACTAATTCACTTAATTCACTACTAATTAATTTTTGGAACAATATTTTTATATTTTAGTTAAAAACTTATTAATTTACTTAATTTAACAAATAGAAAATTTAATTAACACCTATATAATTAAACTAACAAACATTTAATTTTGTAAAAAAAATAATAATTTATTTTACCGTAAATTAAATTAATGTTATTAACACATAAATCATTCAATTAACAATCAATTAATTAATTAAACAAACAAACATTAATTTTTTTTAAAAAAATTAAATTATTTAAATGCCAACACATGAACTTAATTTCATTAACAAGTAAATCAAAATTATTCAACACATAATTTATTAAACTAATTCTTAAATAATTATTTTAACAAAAAAAATTAAATTAATTAACAAATAACAAATACTTGTAACAACAAAATAAATTAAACTAACTAACAATTAACCAATAAATAATTAAACAACAACAATTAACAAATAAATTATTTAAATATCAATAACTAAACTTAATTTAATTAACATCTAAATCAAAATTGTTTAACACATAATTTATTAAACTAATCCTTAAATAATTATTTTAATAAAAAATAATAATTAACAAATAACAAATACTTATGACAACAAATTAAATTAATCTAATGAACAATTAACAAATAAATAACTGAACAAAAATAATTAACAATTAAATTACTAAACAACAATTATTAAATTATGGATCAAAATGAAAGAATACTTAATGGGTTACCAAAATTGGAGGTGTAGAGAATGAGGAGTTCGTCGTCCGAAGGAGGAGGAGTTGCTGCCAAGGAAGAGGAGCTCGCTGTCATAGCACTATTCATGGGGAAGAGGAGTGAAGGGAGGAGGAGGAAAGGAGAGAAAGAAGAAGAAAAAGGATGAAGAAAAAGGAAGAGATGGAGGGGAAGAAGAAAAGAAGAGAAAAAGGGACTTAGAGGGAAGTTTCAAAAGAGCTTTAAGGAGAAATGGGGGAAGGAGAAGTGATAGAAAGAACACCAAAAAGAAGAAGAATAAAAGGAAATAAGGGAAAATTTTGGACATTTGGGTTTTTAGGGATTTCGGTTTTAGCGATAGTTTTGTTCTCATTGCTAAAACTATCATTAATTATATATACTTTTTTAAAAACTTTTGTGCTCCCTCTAGCAATTACAAATTAGCGATGGTTTGTGAAAAATCACCACTAATATAAGTATTTAGCGAAGATTTTGAGGAAAGCAACCGTCACTAAAGTATAATGTTTTTTGAATCCCCCCCCAACGGGAAAAAACTTAGCAATGGTTTTTATAAACTATCACTAAATTGGTTGTTTAATAATGGTTTAAAGAAAAAAAAAACCATCGGTAAGCCAAACTTCCTAGCATTTCTTGCAAAAAGGTTTTAGCAATGGTATTTCTCATACCATCATTGCACTCGATCATTAAAAAGGAATTTTTAGCGAGGGTTTTTGAAAACCCTCGCTAATTTTCTCAATTAGTAATGGTTGTAAAACATCATTGCCAAATCCTAAATTACATATGACATTAGCAATGGTATTTAACAATCCATTACTCATAACAATCTTATTTGACAAATTTAGCAACGGTGTTATATATCCCTCACAAAAAAAAAAAAAAAAAAAAACGACCACAAATAGCACAGATTGCTTAAGTCCATCGCTATTTCATGTTTTTAGCGATGTTTATTAGAACTATCGCTAAAAGGTTGTCGCTAATTGAATTATTTTCGATAGTGTAAATGCCACATGCATACAATAACAATAATAACTTGTTTATGACTATATTGATAATGACTACAAGTTTTTGAGAATGAAAAAACAAGAGTGGCTACGAATATAAGAACAATAAAACACATGCAACGATCAGACGTATAATATGGAGGATAGTAATTAGACCTACAATCATTTGCAAAATTTGGCAACAACTTTAATAAATATTTTAAACCAATGTGTAATTAGTGTGTTAGTTATATATATATATATATATATAAAGAATAGGTGTGTTAGCTATAAATATAAGGAAAAAGGAATAGGAGATTATAAGATGGCGCTCCAATTTTAATGCTCTCTTACACACCAGCATTTGGACATTAGTACTTCCTACATGAGCTATGAATGTGGGTGGCAACAATTGTGTTTTTAAAACTAAGAAACATGCAAATAGAAGCATTGAAATGTATAAGAAAAGGTTGGTAGCTAAGGGTTATCATTAGTAGGAAGACATTGACTATGGTGAGTTATTAACTTGGTCTGGTTGTTAAAACCTTAACCATTCTATGTGTCCTCACTTTGACAGTTTCTCATGGGTGGACTAGTAGACAATTAGACGTGCATAATTCCTTTTTGAATGGTACTCTCCATAAAAAAGTATTCATGGCTCAACTTGTAGGCTTTATGGATCCTTAGTTTGCTAATTATATATGTAAATCGAATAAATCACTATATGATTTGAAAGTCACCATAAGCTTGGTTCACCTTCCTTTAAGAATTAATTTGTGTTTTCCTTTGGGTTTATAGGCTCAAAGATTGACTCCTCTCTTTTTGTCTATCATCTAAAGGGCTATAGAGTTTTCCTTTCAGTTTATGTATGCGAGAAGTGGATCATTAAGCAACAATCTCTCCTTTCTAAAATAAACAATAACTATTTTGAATTCTTGTTTTACAATATGGGACCTTAGAGACATAGGTTATTTTTTTCACATTGAAGTTGTTAAAATGAATCATGATATTATTTTGTCTCAATACAAATTTGTCATTGATATTCTGGCCAAACCGGGCATGTCAACTTATGGACCCCCATCGTGACTCTTATGCCACCTCATCCCAATTGAAAAATGTGGCAACATAGTATTTGCTTATCCCACCTTGTATAGTCAAGTAGTGGGGCTTCTCTAATATATATATATATATATCACTTTAACAAGGTTAGACATTGCTTATGCTATAAACAAGGTTTATCAATTTATGCATCATCCACATTTAGATCATTGGATTGTTGTGAAACGTATGTTACGTTATCTTAAGCACACTTCTAGTCATGGTCTTCACATCAAACAGTTAAGAGTTCCTCAATTTTTATTTTTATTCTATTTTTGAGTAAATGTATACCATCAATCCAATGCATTTGAATATGTCTAATACAAATTCTCACGAATGGTAGATAAGTGAGAGTTATAACTTAGTACAAATTAATTAGTTTTTTTTTAACAAAAAAATTAATTATTTAGTTTTTTTTTAAAAAAAATGGTGCTTATTTTAATATTATTTAATTTAATAAAATGTCATATTTTCTCGTTAATATCTCAGAAGTATCTAATAAGATTTCTAAAATAAAATAACCAGATTCAAATTATAGCTTCAATAATAAGGAAAAAAAAATTTCTGCTCCTAGGGTATCATGGGTACATCTGCATAACCATAACCACAGACCCTATTTCACTCCTAGCAAAAGCAGACACTGATGGAACAAAGAGTACTGCAATTATAAAGAAAGTACATCAAAATATTCTTTAGGAAGATCAGCATTTTTATCCTTCGGAGTTTTTGTGGTTTTTTCGTTGTGCTCCCTGAAACTTCATCATTTCATCATGATGCTTCATTGCTACCCTCCTTACAAAAATACCTTCACTGATAACACCTTAGGAAATTTGCGTTAATTTGCAGGATAGAGAACACTTCAGTTGGCATTCTCACCCTGTCAAGCACGACGAGTTTCACATTGTTATGTAGGAGCTATAGATGCGCCACCACATCATTACGTACTGAATTACTGGAATGTTTCAAGCTGTACATAAATATGGTTCCGCATCCTGAATGGCAAAGACGAGAAAGATTTCTGTTGATTCCTGGTTTCTGAAGCTAATAGCGCATACCATTGTTTGAATTTCCCAACTCTTAACTACTGCTATTCCTGCCAATTAATTATAATGAGTTATAGTTTCACCTGGCAATCTATGAGCTATTGCGGAACTGAATTAACGGAAGTTGTTTCAACTTGCGCATGGTTAGACATCTCTGCACCATACTAAATATCAAAGAAAAGCAACATCTCACTTGATTACTGGTTTCTGAGGCTAAAAGCACTTAGAATTTACTTAATGTATTTGTTCCTTTTTTTCGTGAATTTTCTTACATACCATATCCATCTCATAGTTATTTAGATTGGAAACAATGAAATAACTTATTGCTTCAATGGTAGCATAAAATTTTATTTTCTGATAATGAGTAGCCGAGAAATTGTTTAGACTGATGCTTTTAAAAAATGTAAGCATATTTATAACTGGCTAAAATCTTGCAAATCTGTGAGTTTTGAAAATTTTGAGCCACATTTCCAGTGTAGAGGTATCTTCCTAGCTAGAAAATTGTGTTTGAATGCTGGCAAATTTTCTGAGCCCATTTGTAGAAGTGATATGGCAAAGTAGCAGTACCAGAAATTAACTGACAATTTTCTTTTCCATCTCACCCCTCTTCTCTTTCTTTAAAACAAGAAAACAATAGAAAAGGGGCATGCATATGGACTTCGACTCCATAGGGGGTCAGACCAAATCCTTCAACAGCTAGAAATACAGTTTTTTCTTTCTTCTGACCTCTCATTTCACATTCTACAGAACAAAACAACAAAGAATCCCTTCCCTTCCCTTCTCTTCTCTTCTCTTCTCTCCAAGAAAAGTAGAATTCCCAAGTGCTAGCTCTCGAGAAAATGATGCGATCATATGCTAAGCGCTATGCCAACAACTTATGGACTAAAAGAAAGATGAAGAAAATGTCTATCATCCTTGTGGGTGTAGTCTTTATCATATTCCAGATCAATGTGCTCCTGATCACTCCTCAGGTAATCTGTTTCTTTCACTCTTCCTTGTGTTCTTTTTAGTTGCCCTTTTTTCTTTCACTGTTTCAGTGCCCTTGTTGTTGTTCTGATATTAATGCCCATTTTAAAGTTTAAGGAGAAAGATTCTCTTCCTGATGAAGTCTTTCGCACTCATAAGGTATTACTAAAGCTACAACACTTTCTTTGTTTGATTTCTTGCTTACATTTTCCTTTTCCTCTTCATTTTCTTGCACATTCTGGGTTTTAGAGGGCATTTCAGTGAATTTGAGGTCTTTCTTTCTTGCTTCTTTTGAATTTTTCTTGGCCCCTTCTTTTCTCCTTTTAATGCTACTTTTATGGTATTTGAACTTTGAAGAGCAATTCGATTGGTAGCATCTATCACAGAGAAGACTTTTTCCTTCCGAATTATGCTACAATGGAGGAGGGTTTTAAGATCTTTGTATACCTGGGGAAAAACCCAACAACATGTTATGATCCAAAAGACAAGCTAAAGAGAAGATATGCAAGTGAACATTACTTCTTGAAGAATCTGATACCCAGTTCGTTCTTCACAGATGATCCTACTGAGGCTCATCTCTTCTTGATTCCCTTTTCTTGTAGGAAAACGGGGGGCAGGGTACGTACTTGAAACACAAGAAATGATTTAACTTTGATCTTTGTAATTGAATGTAAGCAACGAGTCTAGGTTTCGGTTAGTTTTGGACTAAATGATTTCTTATATGCATAAATTCGACAATTAGGTCGAAATGATGTGTTAGCTCTGCATTTTTTTTAGGATTTAGGAGATAAATCATTTGATTCAAAGATAAATCATTTGGATTTGGAAACCATATATGAATAAGGCAACCACAAGTTTGCTAAACCATACATGAGTTTTAAATGCAGGTGAAGGTTCTCGCGACGTACGTAAAGAACTTGATTTCCACATACCCTTACTGGAATAGGACTTTAGGTGCTGATCATTTCCTTTTCAGTTGCCATGGCTTTGGCAGCAAGGATTTTGAAGAAGTTCCATTTCTCATGAAGAATGCAATTCGACTTGTCTGTTCACCAAGTTATGATTCCAACTATATCCCACAGAAGGATATTGCCCTCCCGCAAACACTAGAGCTCGCACTTCCTGATGGAGACGACGTGTGGAGCAGGTAATCTTTTATGGTTTAACACCTTGTATTTCCGTTGAAGTACTATGATATTCCATGAGAGTAACTTCAGAAACTTGCCAGGTCAACTGTGGAGTCTCGCCCTTTACTGGTTTTCCCAGAGATGTTGCTCCCTAGCAGGTAGTGAAAAAACCTAATTTAACTTTTTATACATGCTTTTGCTTCATCTTAACAGCGGAAAAAGCTGGCATGAAAGTTGCCCGAGTTTCACAAGGCTTTTTATAATCTGAAGTGGTTAATTCTTGTTATACAGCTTGAATTTTGATGTATGCTTCGGTGTTTCTATTTATCAATAGAAATATATATGTAGTTCATAAATCATCAATAGAATCAATGCTGCTTCGGCTTTGCTTCTGGTGAAAATACTGCAGGAGTAAACTTGGATTCTGGGCTGGTTCTCCCAACTCAGATGTAAGAAAGAATCTTCTAATTTTTCATAAAAGCGTTCCAGAATTTGACTTCCATTTCATCAGCGAAACGAAAAAAGCTGCATTACTAGATGCTTATCAAAATGAACTATATGGGAGTAAGTTTTGCATTTGTCCTCGGGGGAAGAATCATGCCGGTGGCATTTGCTTAACAGAGTTGATGAATTTCGGATGTATACCGGGTAAGAATGCTTTTCACACGGGCTCTATTTTTTGTTCCGTTGAATTATTCATTATGTAGCCTTTTCTTAACTCATCACCCTGTCTGTCCTCTGGTATCTTTTCTAAGCAGTTCACGTGTCTTTCTGCAGTTATTTTGTCTGACTTCTATGACTTGCCATTTAATGATGTTCTTGACTGGACTAATTTCTCTGTAATTCTCAAAGAGGACGATGTTCCCGATCTAGAGAAAATTCTTAAAGGAATACCAGAAGAAAACTACAAGAAAATGCATCAAAACCTTCTTCAGGTAGACTAGAATTGTCTCTTTCTTTTTTTTTTTAAAAAAAATGATTGTCTTCTGTATCTTGCAATCCAATCTCATTTCCAAGATGCTACTGCTGCCTGAGTCATTTATAGTTATTTGCGTGAACTATAGAGGTGTTTTGTCCTTGAAGGAATACCTTGATGACTGTGGTGGGATCCTGGAGAAACACTTAAATATTTTATTCTGGTTTGCAGGTTAAAAAGCACTTCAAGTGGAATTCTCTTCCTGTCAAGTATGATATGTTTCACATGGTTATGTATGAGCTATGGCTGCGCCGGCACACCATCAAGTATTGAACTCTTGGAAGATCGATGTTTCAACTTGTACATATGGTTTGATATCTCTGCATCATCCTGAACAGCGAAGACAAGCGACAATTTCCCCAGATTTTTGGTTTCTGAAGCTAAAAGAACATTGCATTACTTGATTTTCCTATTCTTTAAGATGCTTAAACTTAAATGCAATATATCGGAAGCAAGGCTTTCATATGAATCTGTTGTAATATTTTGAGCCTCATATATATGTAAGGAGTTTATTGTGTTTGAATAACTCTTGTCGATCCACACCTACTAGGGTGTCCAATTCTGTTTCCTCTGTTAATAAATTGGCTTGTTAGTTTTTTTGAGACACATACATGATAATGAACAAAAGCACTCACTCCAAAATCCAAGCTGGCTGAGCAAAGTCAACCCAGGACATAAATTCGGTTTGGCCTTTGCGACTTCTTAGAAGGGGTTCGTTCAGGGCAAAGCCCTATAATTCCTTGCCTAAAATATTCCACTTGAAGTGACACATATGCGCCGCTGAAAGTGCTCCTGGACCTGATGTAGAAATGAGAGTCTGTAATCAAGGTTTAATACGTTCAAGGAAAACAAAAATAAACAGAACTGAACTTCAGCAGAAAATTGTATTTCCTTGACTGTGTTGCTTTCCATGGCTTGAGGATTTCCTTTGGTTGCTAGACATCGATCTCCATGTAGACCACATTACCTTCAAACATCACAACCCTCCCCTGCATATCCTCTGAATTACCAACCAAAATTTACAGTAAGAATAATTCCTTTTAGATTGGAATTACCAAGTCCAGCTATTAGCTATAAGGGATCAACAAATTACATCCCATAACCCAGCAGGCTCACATCTCTTACAACCAAGTTAGTCTGGATAGGATCCTATATATTCGATATCACCTACCAACAAAGATGTCAATCTTTGAAGGGAAGTGTAATATCTGAATTTATGAATAAATAAAATAATATATTTTAAATGCATATGAAAATTATTTTGTATGCATAGAGTAATTGTTAGAGGGATGCTAAGATATTTTATGCATTTAGGCTAATTTTTCTATGCTTTGTGAATATTTAATTGGCTTTCTTTGTGCATGAATAGTGCCTTTTGTGTAAAATAATTATGTTGAGTGCCTAAACAAGTGCATAAAAATTATGTGATTGATGAATAAATTACTATAGAAAGTGCATGAATTTATTATGAAAAAGAAATTATTTTTCTGAAGTATGCAGAAATAATTATGTGCACATAAGGATTTAATTGCACAAGAATTAGAGACTTAACTGCAAAAAATTAAAAGTTTTGGGCCTCAAATAAATGTAGAAGCAAATTTAAGAGGGCATAAAAATATTTGAAATCCTAAGGTAAGGACCAAAAATATTCATTTAAAAATTTGAAGGACTAAAATATAGAGACTAAATAAAATAGTATGACAAAATGAGGGACCAAATTAAATATATTGACCAAGCTTTTCTTGCGCAGCCAACCACCTCATCCCTCGTTCAATGGGTGTAATTATTCAATTTAACAAAAATCTAATTATACCTATCTTGAGGCACAAAATAGATGGCTAAGATTAAAATGATGGAAGATGAGGATTAAAAGAAAAATAAAAGATAGAGATGGAAAACAAATGAAGGGCTAAGATGTGAGTCAAACAAGAAAAGTCCACCCTTTTGTCTATAAATTTCAGCTTGAAGGGGGAGGAGAAAATGGTGGGGAAATAGCAAAAACAAGCCAAACCCTTACCAAAAATTCACCAAAATCACAAACCAACTAAACCAAGATACGAAAACATCCTAAAATCACTCAATCAAGCCTTGGATCATAGTTGGAATATCAAGGTGGAATTATAGGAGAGGAAGCTGAAATTTTGGAGGAGGAAGGAGGGAAGAAAATGTTGCAAATTCAACTCAAAAGGAATTAATTTGGAGCATTAGAGGTAAGTTAGTTACATTACATCACAAGAACTTAATTATTGTATTGAACTAAATGATTTTAAATGGAAAGATAATGTACGATATATGTTTGAATGTGATGAGGTTGATGAAAATGAAAGTTTTATGGATTAGTTATTAAAATTAAGTTTGATGATGTTGTTTAGATAGAGATTTATAAAGAAAAGGAAACAATCCCTTGGCTTATTTGACGATGAAAAATTCGGCCAAGTAGAAAAAAATTAGGGATTGTGAATTTATTAAGGTATTATGAATAAACTATGTTAGTTAATGTTAAAGTGTTTATTTAAGATAGTATATTTATTAAACTTTAGGTAATTCATTTAAGGATTACATATTATTTTGGAAAACCGAAGTTAGGTTTTCCATGTCCAAGATTAGGTAAGGTAGATGAACATGGTAAATTAGTAAGATTAATAGCCAGGAAATGATGATTGGTATGGAAATATATGTGAAAATTTGGCAATAATGCAACCACTTAATAACTTGTTAAAATTTGAATTTTAAAGTTAGGTTGTCAAGTATGGAAGTTTAATGGAGGGATGAATAGTTGGAAATTATATTAAATAAAAATGCATTAAGTCGAGAGAAAGATGAAATTAAGCATGAAAAAAGAAAAATATACCTAGTTTATACTAGGTAATCTTTCGACCAAGTATATTATAATAATAATAATAGTAAGGTTAATGAGTTAAATAATTGGATGTATTTGAATGAGGAAATTAATAAAATGGAAAGTCCAAGTAAAAAGGTAATGTGAAGTTTAAAGAATGAATGGAAAATTTACATTTACTATACTTTGATATATATTTTGGCACTAATGAAAAATAAATAGGGTTATAACTAAGAAAGGGTGGTGAGGATTAAATGATAGAAAGATGAAAATTGAGTATTTCATTTGTGACTTAAGGAATAACATACACATTAAACCCCAAATAATTCACCAAACTTAAGTTATGTGTGGAGAGTAAATAGTTGCATCATAATAAAGGAAAAATTGAGTAATTAATTTAATTATTTAATTACTTAGAAGGTTGAATAGATAAATATATTTATGCTTTTATTTTATAGTTACGTGAAATGTGATGATGTATGAATATTTTTATGCTTTTATTTTTTAAATTTATGAAATGTAATAATGTATGAATATATTTATGCTTTCATTACATGAATATGTGAAATGTGATGATGAGTGGCACATTACGATGAATGTCTTATTTGATTGGAAAATGTACCTTGAATTAGAAGTGATGGGTTGAAATGTGAAAGGTAATGAAGTGCTATGTGCATTTTTCTTATGTTGATTCATGTAATTTTATTGCATAAATGCACATTTATTTATAACATGTATTATAATAATTAAATAGGTTATGCATTTACATTTAAATGCATATACATGTCATAATCATGAAAGGATTTTTCCTCATGATTTTTATAAAGAAAAAGAAAAAAGGTTATCGAGAGTCTAATTATTGTTGATATTTCTTTGTTAGGGGAATTGGTAAAGGCCTCGACATAAGAAAACGACAAAGGAAAAAGAAGGCCGAATACATACACATTTGTGTATAAGATACATTCGGTAGGGCGCATTAAAAAAAGGATTTTGAAGTGCATTCATATGCATACATGTATAACATACATAACTAACTTACTAAGTAGTAGCTCATATAGTTCTTATGATGTTGGGGAGAAGAAAAAGGAATAATGGCCATGTACGCGCTACGGATGGTTACTAAAGGGAGTCTCCTATCCATCCGCAAAGTGTATCTTACTTATGGTTGCAAATTAGACCTATTACATGTGGTCGTGTTGTTGATCCTTGGTCTTTTGTTATATGTACTTGGCATGGCTATTCTATTTTATATGATGATAAAGGTGATGACTAGGTAAATCAAGTTTAGATGTTTAACACATAAAGGAATAGTAGGCTTGTAAATATGTGAAACCAATTTTGAAAAATAGTGCGATATTAAGCTAGTTAGTATGTAAAAGGAATGTAACACCTTTAAATTTTAATTTTTTTTTATGAATTAATATTTTATGCCTACATATAAAACAAATTAACGCATGCATAAATATTATGAGAGGTAAGTAAATTTTTTAATGCTTAATTTAGTAAGTTATCGGATTAATTGTTAAGGTTATAATAATTTACGGGTGTAATTACAAGACTTTAGGAGGTTTAATTGTAACAATTAAAAGATTGATTAGTTGATTAAAATTATTAGAAATTTCAGTTAACTATTATAAATTAGGAAATGCCTAGATTAAGGGCTTGATTACGGAAAATTGGAAGTTTAGGGCTGAAAACGAAGGACCTAATTGAACTAATTACAAGTTTATGGACCAAAATGTAAAATTTTAGAAAAATTAGAGACTAGTTAATTTGGCCATAATTGGTCTATTTTTAACTAGATATACGCTGAAATAAAAGAAAGAGTGTGGTAGTTTAAGATAGGAAAATGAAGAAGAAAAGAGAAAAGATATCAAGGAGAAATGGAGAGAAATCTAGAGAGAGCATTAAATGAAAGAATTTATGAGAAACCAAGTGTCTCACACTTGGAAAAATCCTCTATAATTTTTGGCCAAGAAGAGGAAGGAGAAGAAGGATGAGCAACCAAGGATCCAAGGTAGAACAAATGAAATTCAAGTCATTTCAAGTAAAATTAAGCCTACCAATCAACCAAAACTACCTATACTACTTTAGAAGGAGGAAAAAGGCAAGGTGAAACTATAAGAAAGAAAGGAGAGGAGAAAACTTCAAGCAACTAAAGAGAAATTTGATCAAGCACCAAGTGAGGTAATTGTAATCCTCACCACATCACAAGATTATAATAAATGGATGCTTAATTGTTTATGGTTTGAAGTTTTAGAAATTATGGTTAATTCTACAATTGTTTGGGTTTTGATATGATTGATTGGTTAAGATAAATTGTTATTGAAATCATGTTTATGATAGTTGGTTGATCATGTTTGATGACTCAATTAAAGTTAGGTTGATGAATTAAAGTTGGGTATTGATAGAGGAAGTTTAGGCCAAGTGGAGAATTTTGGGGAAAATAGTTGATTTTCATTATTTTAGATTAATTAGATGCTTTTTTAGAATGATGTAAGGTATTTAAGATTTTTTTTATTAATTTGGCTAATTTAGAAACATGAATTGAAAGCTAGAAATCAAGTATGTAAGAATCGGTATTCTTAAGGACTAGGTTACGCCTAAATTTTATACTTGCATGTTCATAGGTTTTAGATTGATTTATAGGAAAATTTGTAAGCATGAAAGTTGTTGTTCGATGTCGTCTATATGTCTCCGTGAAATGGTTTTGTCATTAGGTTTGTATATGAAGAGTTATACTCATTTAAATACAAACTATTTTAAATCATCTACTACTAGACGGATCGGTTCTTCAACTTTAAAATGATAGTACTAATCATTTTTTTGGTATTTTAATCTATTTTTTGGAAACATTTTAGATTAATATGTCTAGTTACTAATAGTAAAAGGATATTTTCTAATTATTTCCAAAAGCAGAGCTATTGCTACTTGTTTAGAAGTCTGTCTTGAAATAGGCTTCTTTGAAATAGAGTAACTTTTGAAAAATGAGCATAAATTGTGTATTTGAACGTTAAATATGATTTTTGGATATGTTTTGAATCAATGGATTAAGGATGGAGTTATGCTTAAA